TTGTATGTGTGTATATATATATATATGTTGTATGTGTGTATATATATATATATGTTGTATGTGTGTATATATATATATATGTTGTATGGATGTATATATATATATTTGTTGTATGTGTATTTATATGTTGTATGTGTGTATCTAAATTAATGAAGTTGTTTGGTTTTACTATTCTACCTTAAATGGAATTTGAAATTTCCCTGTAGTTCTTTTAATGTGGAATTAACTGGCATTACTCAAACGTCATTGTTACACTAGAAAGTACACAAAAGGACTTTGTTTATTTCATATGGTGATTAAAACCAAGAAGCCCATGTTTAGGGTGAGAAATATCTTCTGTGAAAATGATATGTTGGAGGGGGGGTAGTCTTTTCTCCAAAAATCCCTTTATTAAAGTACTACGTATTTAAGTTGGAAAATTTCTTTCCTAAAACACGCGCTTGTGTAGAGTGAGAAGCTTTTTTTTATTAAGCACGTGTTTAGAGTGGGAAAGTTTCTTCCCTAAAGAACAACATATTTAAGGTTGGAAAGTTTCTTCCCTAAAGAACAACGTATTTAAGGTTGGGTAGTTTTTTCCCTAAAGAACAACGTATTTAAGGTTGGAAAGTTTCTTCCCTAAAGAACAACATATTTAAGGTTGGAAAGTTTCTTCCCTAAAGAACAACGTATTTAAGGTTGGGTAGTTTCTTCTCTAAACTACAACGTGTTTAGGGCTGAAAGTTTCTTTTTTATAACAAGCACTTGTGTAGAGTGAAAAAGCTTCTTTTTTTAAGCACGTATTTTGTGTGGAAAGTAATTTCTTTAATTTAAAGAAGCACATATATTTAGTGGTGGATTTCTTTCCTTTAAGGAAACATGTTGGTGTTGATTGCTAGAGTTTATATTTTAAGATTTTATAGAGTATTGATAGCCTCAAGTACAATTATTTAGTAGCCATGACTCAAAACATATTTCACTTAATTAGATTTTCAAAGATAGACAACAAATTAAATGATAAAACCAAGTTTCAACATTAGAAGACACAATAAAGCTTTATACCAGTCTCTCATGAGCCTGATAAACAATTTTTTATCC